TAATTACAGTGACAATATTTTCTTGGCAAGTTTGGTTTGCCTTGTGATTGTGGAATTTGCAACATCGTTTAATTTGGACAAAAATGCTGCATCGTTGAATCTATGCTCATTTGTAATAATACGCAAAGGCGTTCCACTGTTCTTTCCGTCTGGGCTCTGATAGAGCGTAGCTTACAATCCCTGGATTGCCTATTTCTTGAAGTCAAAGTGAAGCACAGCACTAAAAATCTATGCCGTTACAATTGCAGGACATTAATAGTTTTAGCTAAAACCGCCGAGGGATGATATACTAAAAATATCGAAGAATATAACACTTGACATCAGAGCAAGGGTTTGAGAAACTTATAGTGTCAATAGCATAACTAGAGAGTACTTTTTAAAGAATGGCAAGATTGACGATGGGCTTTGTTTTCAGAATTAGCAAGCCCTAGGAATACTTGTCCAGAAAACGTTCGAACAATTTTAAAGCCGAATTTAGAAGGAAAAGTTTCCGACTTCTGCCCTACATGCTTCTATTAAATTTCCCTAATGATACAGGGGTATATAAATGGATAGGAGTTAAACAAACGCATTAATAAATCAAAAAGAAAAAACAAAATAAATTAATGTTTAACGAGTGTCTTTAGTTTATATCTGATAAAAACACGGCTAAACTTTACGGCCAATTTTTACACCAAAATAACCCCAAATCTAAATATTAGTGCAAGAATGAGTTGATCTATATCGGAGAAATTTGAAGCCGTTGAAAAATATCGCAGTTGGGTATTATCAAGTTTAAAAATTCGAGGCGTGGCCTTAAGTTTTTAAGCCTGATACACTCCTGCTTGTTTTTGATCGACACCTTACAAAATTGTGTGTCGTCTTTCCTTGCTCTCATTTAAATTGGCAAGATTTCATTAGATGAACCAATAAAATCCCAGATTGGATTAAACAGTCAGACAAAAGTGTTTTTGCACGTTCCAATCTAATTAACTGTTTCTTCTTCTTCTTCTTCTTCTTCTTCTTCTTCTTCTTGTATATATATATACAATAGAGAAAGACGAAATGGAACCGTGCGCTCAACAGGCCATCCTGGACTGCGCTTTTGGCACAAGCTGGAATGGCATTGTCGCAAGCATGTTCGAACCACTTTTCAATTGCGTAAAAGATAAAGGTAAAACCTGTAAAGCCCCAATTTGGCAGCACTTTGTCGAAACCGTTGTCGCTTTTGAAGAGGAATTCAGGAAGCACCATGAGAAATTCAAAGAGTACTTTCCGAAGATTCAAGTGTGAGGCAGAACCCTGAAGATCGACACAGAGGAAACATCCTTTGCGCGAAACACGACTTAGAGTGGTAGTGACAGTTATTTACTTAGACGGCCAATTTGAGCCTTTTTATTCTGCCTATTAAAGCCACTAGTAATGGCTATAGTCAAAGCATTTATATAACACAATCCCAGCACGATTTGCTAATATTAAGAAGATATTTTTAAAAATTAAAAAAACGACAAGATAATGCTGTTAGTGTTCTTGAAGTTATTCGATTAGATTATGGAACGACTTTACTCATCTGTTCAAGAGACTGCGCTTTAAGGCCAATTACTTTTTATGAATTACTTCTCTACTGACAGAATCACAGACAGCTTCATGACGTACAGAAAAATATGCCTCGCTCCAGAACGTTATAAATCAGAATTACAAACGGCAGACTTAATACGGGCGGGTTCCAAAAACCCAACCGCGATCCGTTTTATTCTATATCTACTTCAAGTTTGCCCATTCGTGTCTTCTTTCTCGAGTTACATGTTCCTTTATTGTTTAAACGATCGTTTCTATATTTCAATCAATTTGGTGGCCACTTCCTCAAAGCTGATTTTTCTCTTAATAGGCATGACGTTGTCATAGATTTCCACTGCCAGAGAGTGTTCCCACTCGTGGCGATCGGCAATTTTGCGGCCCATTTCTCGATTGATGTGCTCGAACGTAAACAAAAGTATTTCCAATATAGATAACTCAGACGGAATTCAAAAACGATCATGTAAAAAAATCCAATTATCAAGAGTTTTTGCCTGTGAATCTCGAAAGGCTGAGAATTGTCAAGCGGCCTTGAAGGCTAGTTAGTTCCACTACCACCTAGATCTGGTCATCACTTGGCTTGTCACTAGGATCAACGCTCAATCACCTGACATAACCTTGCGTCCTGGCCGTGGAGAGTGTCAATCGTAGTTCAACACACAAGGAGAGATAAAAAATATTTCAATCGACTAGCTATATCGCTTATAGAAAATTACGATACCTTCGGTATGTCGGCCGTGGACTTACTTTTTTGTTTTCTTGAGGCCGTGTTACACAGGGTTCGCGGACAGTCTTGAAAAGTTCTTAAATTTTTGGGAAAGTTTTGAATTTTCTTCGACTTTGAATGTAGTAGCCTGGAAATAGTTTGTTGATGCTTTTTGATTGTTAAAGACAGAATATAAATCATAGCTCGGAGAAAAGTGCTCTATGAAAAGTGCTCTGTGTTTTATGCAATAATTAACTATTAATTTTAGACCAGTCAACTGAAAAGTGTATAAAAAATTGGTGAAGCAAACAGTTCAAACCTTAAAGCCTTATTAAAATAGACTGGGAATGTGCATTTTTGTAGCTCTGTGAAATTATATTCCTTAGTAGATGGTCCTTGAAAATCCACTTGGTCCTTGAAAAGTCCTTGAAAAGTCTTTGAAATATGGTTGCAATTTTTTGTATGAACCCTGTTACAGTTTGCGATCATCCCGGCTTCGTTGAAACTCATCTCAGGAATATCTCCGTAAAACGGACCCAGCAACAATGGTAAAAGGATAGGGAAGAAAAAAACAAAACTGAGGCCCGAAGGGCCGACCGCTCCTTCCCCCCCCCCCCCCCCCCCCCCCCCCCCCCCACCCCCCCCCCGCCCGCCCCCCCCCCCCTCCACTCTCCCCGACCCCTTTTTTTTTGCTCCCGCTCTTGTTTTATTTTTTTTCTCTTTTTTGTTTTTTTCACACTCCCTTCTTCCTCTTCTCTCTCTAGTGCCAGGCTTTTTCTTCCCAACCCCCCCTCCCCCCCCCCCCCTCCCCCCCACCCCCTTATCTGAAGGTCTGGATCCGCCACTGCCTTTAAATTATGTCGCAACTCTTTTGTTTTCGGGCTCTAGGTTTAATTGTTAACTCTCTTTACTGTTTTCTCAACCAATCCCTTGAGATCTTCAGAGAGCTGCAAGAGTCTTTCTTCTCTGACTGCGAAAGAGGTCATATCAACGAAGTAATGGTTTAACTATCGGTGTTTAACCAACTGCAGGGTTGCTTGGGGAATCCATTCCCATTTACTTTAAATCATACATCCATATACTGTACTATTATGACTTGCAGGCATAATAAAGTATATTCAAATAGCTTTGAATAGAATGGTTTATTTCTATATGTTTATACACAAAAGGGTTGGTGTTTTCGAAAAAACTACCGCAAAAAATCTGCCTCATTTTTGAAGTTGGCCCGAGCTTGACCAACCAAGCGCCCTTGTTATAGCAACAAACTAATCCTTCTGAAGGAAATTTCATATATTTTTCTTAACAGAAAGGGCTAAAACATTCTGTAAAAAATTAGTCAGTCAGTCATCTACTTACGTCGAGAAATAGTGAAGTCAAAATGCCAAGGCAGAAAACTTTGCCTGCGCAAATTTTTTTATACAGTTTTCACTTGTATCGTATTAAAAAATGATCCACTATACTTGCAAGTTGTTTGAACGCAGTACCACCTGCGTAGACCCAAGGACAGCATTATTGCAAACTTTGCATGGATTCTAATCCTACTACCCGTTCCTGAGTCTCTAAAGATGACAATACAAGAAAACAGCGTTGTTTCCCTTGCCCAGGATAGCTCACGTGTGAGACTGAACTATTTAACTTTTCAGCAAAGCAGGTTACGCAGTGTGGTAAGCGATAGTTTATCAGTTTGTCAATATTGCTTTTATTATTCAAACGAGCAAATAATTGAAACAGAGGAACCTTTTTTTCAAGAGCCAATAAGCTTCTGGTAGGTAAATGAGCGTGGATTCATTTGCACCATACGCGCTTTTCAAAAGCTTCAAGACCCGTTTTATTTCATCGCTTTCGCGGTACGCGTATGGGGTATACGATTAATCGATTGAGTGACACATGGAATAATTACCTCAAATTAAATATGCAGACGCTACACAAGAAAAGTAGTAGACACCGTAGCCTGAGAAAACAGCCGAGCCGACATTTGGCGCCGCTACCACTGGTTTCTCCCGCCAAATGACGTCTGAGAAACATTAGCGCAGAAATTCCATACTGATGACGCGTCACTACCCAGATCTGAGTAGTGCTTCTTATTGGTTGAATCAAATTTCCCACGCGGCACAACCAATCACAAGCACTTTTATCCAGATCTGGGTAGTGACGGGTCATCAGTATGGAATTTCTTCGTTTCTCAGACGTCATTTGGTGGGAAATCAGTGGTAGCGTCGCCAAATGTCGGCTTTTTCCTCAGGCTATAGACATCGCAGAAACGCTGCAGTTTTGTGAAAGGTTTTAGGATGAAGAGATACCGTCAGTCTATGAAAACATGTCTTTCTACTGGAAAGTGAATCACTCCCACTGTTATATAAAAAAAAATGCAATGTCGTTCGCTTGTCATCGGAAGAGTGTCGAGGAGAATTTGAAATGAATTTTACTTAGGGCACAACCTAATTTGATATCTATGATGTATACGAGCCAAATAACACTAGGACTTTATTTAAAACAATTTTTCACGACGCTTCACAGAATTGTAATTTTAATTTACTGTAGCTATATAATAGCAGAAAGTGTAACAAGGCGGAAGGCCTACTTCTTGGTGGCTTTTTTAATTGTTGTTGTTTACTGCTAAACAAAGACATTTGTATTACTGCTTCTAGCTTCTGGCGTTGTGATTTCTTCCCATTCTTCTATTCGACTGCCTAATAATGTCTAACTTCTAAATTGCCTTTTTGGATGGTATATGAGATAT